GAACCATACATCAACAAGACATACAATTATAAATATATATGCCCCAAATAATGGAGCATCTACGTTCATCAAACAAGCTCTTCTCAAGTTCAAGAGTCAAATAGAACATGACATAATAATATTGGGTAACTTTAACACACCTCTTTCACCACTGGATAGATCTTCCAAACGAAAGTTAAACAAAGAAACTATAGAACTCAATAATACAATCAATAACTTGGACTAAATAGGCATATTTAGAATATTTTATCCATCAATGAGTGGATACACTTTCTCTCCAATAGCACATGGATTTTTCTCTAAAATAGACCATATATGTCACAAAGCAACTCTTAGCAAATACAAAAAATTAGAGATACTACCTAGCATTTTATCAGATCATAATGGAATGAAATTAGAAATCAATGATAAATAAAAAATAAAAACTACTTCAACACCTGGAGACTAAATAATAAGCTATTGAATTATTGCAGAAGACATCAAAGAGGATATTAAAAAATTCTTAGAGGTAAATGAGAACACTGATACAACATACTGAAATTTCTGGAACACTATGAAGGCAGTATTAAGAGGAAAGTTCATTGAGTGGAGTTTATTCCTTAAAAGAAGAAAAGGACAACAAATAAATGACCTAACATTACATCTCTAAACCCCAGAGAAAGAAGAACAAACCAACATCAAAAATAGTAGAAGACAGGAAATAATTAAAATCAGAGCTGACCATCAATGAAATTGAAACAAAAGAAAACTGAAAAAATTGACAAAACAAAAAGTTGGTTCTTTGAAAAAATAAATAAAATTTGACAGACTCAGTTATGCTAACAAAGAGGAGAGAGAAAACTCAAATTACTAACATACATGATGAAAAAGGTAATATCACAAAAGACACTGCAGAAATACAGAGGATAATTAGAAATTATTTTGAAAACTTATACTCCAATAAAATAGAAGACATTGAAGGCAACAACAAATTTCTTAAGTCATATGATTTGCCCAGATTGAATCAGGTTGATATATACAATTTAAACAGACCAATATGAAGTGATGACATAGAAGATGCCATCAGAAGCCTACCAACCAAGAAAAGCCCAGGAACAGATGGATACACAGCTGAGTTCTACAAGACCTTTAAGAAGAGCTAATATCAATACTCTTCAATTTAATTCAGGAAATAGAAAAAGAGGGAGCACTTCCAAACTCATTCTATGAAGCCAATATCACCCTGATTCCAAAACCAGGCAAAGACACATCAAAGAAAATTTCAGATCAATATCTCTAATGAACATAGATGCAAAAATTCTCAATAAAATTCTGACAGATTGAATACAGAAACATATCAAAAAGATAGTGAACTACAATCAAGTATGGTTAATTCCAGGGATGAAGGTTAGTTCAACTTATGGAAATCAATAAATGTAATTCATCACATCAATAGACTTAAAGATAAGAGTCATATGATCATCTCGATAAATGCAGAAAAAGCATTAAAAAAAATACAGCACCCCTTCATGTTCAAAACACTAGGAAAACTAGAGATAATAGGAACATATCTCAACATGATAAAAGCTATCTATGCGCAAGGCCAACATCATTCTAAATGGAGAAAAAATGAAAGCATTCCTTCTAAAAACTGGAACAAGACAGAGATGCCCTCTTTCACAACTTCTTTTTAACATAGTATATGAAACCCTAGCCAGAGCATTAGGCAGATGAAAGAAATTAAAGGGATATAGATAGGAAAATAAAGACTCAAACTATTACTATTTGCCAATGTCATGATTCTATACTTAGAGGATCTGAAAAATTTCACCAGAAAACTTCTAGAACTAATAAATGAATTCATCAAAGTAGCAGGATACAAAATCAACACCCATAAATCAAAGGTATTTCTGTACATCAATGACAAATCCTCTGAAAGAGAAACTAGGAAAACTATCCCATTTACAATAGCATCAAAAAATAAAAATAAAATACATGGGAATCAACTTAACAAAAGAGGTGAAATACCTCTATAATGAAAACTACAAAATGCTAAAGAAAGAAATTGAAGAAGACCTTAGAAGATGGAAAGATCTCCCTTGTTCTTGGATAGGCAGAATTCATATTGTCAAAATGACCATACTACCAAAAGCACTATTCAGATTTAATGAAATTCCAATCAAAATCCCAATGACATTCCTCATAGAAATTGAAAAAGCAATCCCGAAATTCATCTGGTAAAATAAGAGACCAGAATAGTCAAAGCAATCCTTAGAAAGAAGCGTGAAGCAGGTGGTATCACTATACCAGATCTTAAATTATCCTACAGAGCAATAGTAACAAAAACAGCATGGTATTGGTACCAAAATAGACTGTAGACCAATGGTACAGAATAGAAGATACAAAGACAAACCCACATAAATACAGTTATCTCATACTAGACAAAAGCGCCAAAAACAAATACTGGAGAAAAGATAGCCTCTTCAACAAATGGTGCTGGGGAAACTGGAAATCCATATGCAACAAAATGAAATTAAGCCCCTATCTCTCACCATGCACAAAACTCAACTCTGAGTGGATCAAGAACCTAGGAATTAAACCAGAGACCCTGCACATAATAGAAGAAATAGTAGGCCCAAATCTTCATCATATCAGATTAGTCCTCAACTTCCTTAACAAGACTTCTATAGTGCAAGGAATAAAATCAAGCATCAATAAATGGGATGGAATCAAACTAAAACCTTCTTCTCAGCAAAAGAAACAATCAGTGAGGTGAAGAGAGAGCCTACAGAATGGGAGCAAATTTTTACCACTCACACATCAGATAGAGCACTAATATCTAGGATATAAAAAGAACTCAAAATACTTAACACTAAGAAAACAAATAACCCAGTGAATAAATGGGCTAAGGAACTGAGCAGACCCTTCTTAGAAGATTATATACAATTGATCAACAAATATATGAAAAAATGTTGAGCATCTCTAGCAATTAGAGAAATGTAAATCAAAACTACTGTATAATTTCATCTCACTCCAGTCAGAATGACAGTTATTAAGAATATAGGCAACAATAAGTGTTGGCAAGTATGTGGGGGGAAAGGTACAGTCATACATTGTTGGTGGTACTGCAAATTGGTGCAACCAATATGGAAAACAGTATGGAGATTTCTTAGAAAACTTGGAATAGAAAGAATCACCATTTGACCCAGCTATCCCAATCCTAGGTTTATACTCAAAGGACTTAAAAACAGCATAGTACAGGGACACAGCCTCCTCAATGTTTATAGCATCACAATTCACAATAACTAAATTATGAAACCAACCTAGATGCCATTCAATAGATGAATGGATAAAGAAACTATTATACACACACACACACACAATGGAATATTATTCAGCATTAAAAAAGAATAAAATTCTGGCATTTGCAGGTAAATGGATGGAGTCGGAGAATATTATGCTAAGTGAAGTAAGCCAATCCAAAAAAAAAAAAACCCAAAGGTTAAATATTTTCTCTGATAAGTAGATTCTGATCCATAATGTGCGTGGGTGAGGGGACATGGGAGGAACGGGGGAACTTTGGATAGGGCAAAGGGGAAGAAGTAAAAGGGAGGGCCATTGGGTGTAGGAAATAGGGTGGAATGAGGTGATCATCATTACCCTAGGTACATGTGTGAAGACAGGAATAGTGTGACTCTACTTTGTGTACAACCAGAGAAATAAAAAAATTGTACTCCATATGTGTACTATGAATTGAAATATATTTTGCTATCATGTATAACAAATTAGAACAAATAAATAATTTTTTTTATAAAAAGAATTTACATTTGCTTTGTGTGAGGATTCTGCAACACAGCAAAAAAATTACTTGAAACATTACACAATTTTTAAGGAAAAGATGAAGAAATACCCTTTATTATGGGGATAGCTTGCTAATCATGTAAAATAAAATTAATAAAAGAAAGTAAAAGCAATGATAATTTAAAAATATATATATATTTCAATGGTTGATCATATTTTAATACTGCAGTCTAACACTTTGGCTTTCTAAGAAAAAGAAATTCAAATGTCACTAAGCATGTTTATTAGAGAAATGATTGCAAATAGGTTTTTGAAATTAAGAAACCACAATGAAAATGAAAACAAAGTTGGGAGTCAAACACTTCTGATACAAAGGAATTTACTAACAACTAAAACTAGGACACATTCTACATACCTGAGTTTAAAAAATATCCACCACTTGTCATCAGTGGGGGGAAATCTCTTCAAATGTCTAATTAGAATCTGTATTGCATACACGTACAACTGAGAGAAATCTCTGAATAAAACATCAAGTTGCAGTTCAATAGCACTGTGAGTAGATAATATAACTTTTTTATATTGATGAATTCATATTTCACATTGAAATTCTGACAGGTGAATGTGAGGTTTATATGAGACATCAAATGCTGAAAAGTGCCCTAAGGTAGAAGTCAAGTCTGAGTTGTAATCATGTCACAGACTTTTAATTTGGGGCAAGTCATTTAATTAACATTGGATTTGATTATATCATCTGTAAAATGAGAAGTTGTATCTCATGTTCTTGGCATTACTACATCAGTTAAAATTTGGAACTTATTTCATAAATTAAGTAAAAGGACAACTATAACTTTTGCAAAATGACTATTTTGTGGCAAGTCATAAACTTGTCTGTTTGCATGCTAAGCTTAATCAAATCACAGCAGAAATATCTGCATTTCAGAGATTCAGAAACAGAGGCTTAGGGAAAGTAACTTTCCCAAAGTCCTGCAACAAATAAATGTAGAAGTTGAGATCCTAACTGAGTTGTCTATTTCCCTGCCTTCAGGCCAACTCAATCATATGTTCTGATTTTTATCCAAGTGATGACTGAATATTCAGGCATTCAAACTTCATGACAAAGCTTGAAATAATTGTTCAACTGTCACACGATTGCATTTTAAAATGTTTTCTAGTTGAACCATAACCACCAGTGATTCAATTAGAACATTTCTATTACTTACAGCTGTTCCAAGGATACGAGTCCTTTAAACGTTTGCTTATCTAGTTCATTAATTTCATTCTTGTACAGGTACCTGAAAAATACAAATATAAAATCACTTTAAACTGAAAAATTTGTACATATATCATATGGTTTGGATCAACAGTTTTAAACTAAAGTCATTGGATCTAAGGACCGTGCGTGTGTGTGTGGGGGGGGGGGTGTTCACTGATTCCCTAAAGAAAATATGGAAAACTGTGGTTTCATTTAAATATTTTAATTTGGTAAGAAAATGCCAAGGCTCTCATCGAATTCTCAAAGGTCTCCTTGGTCCAAAATATTAAGAAATTTAAAGTGACCATGAAGAAATTCTGACTAAGAGATCATATGTTACTGAGTAGCAACTTTTCTATGAAAAAAGTTTGACTATAAACAATTTTAAAAATCTACTCTGTGAAACTGAATATATTCACTTGAGAGTTATATTTTTTGCAAAGCTGGCAAATATCACCATATGAATCATCTTAATGGGATAAAAAAACATCTTAACAGATCCATAAGATATATTTTGGTCCTCCTGTGACTGGCACTGAAAATCCACAGGAAAGCATATTGCAGATTTACAAATATGATGTAGAACTAAGCTTAGGCAAATATATGATGGAAGCCATGTATGTGACATGTGAGGACTTTCTATGTTGTTTGGATTCAACCACAGGATTACAAAGTTATTTCATCTCTATGATCTTTGAGATTATCACAAAATGAAATCCTGGGTCATTTGTACGCCATGTGCCCGTCTGGGTTTGAGGCAATCAGAATTTCTGAATCTTTCCTCCAAGTGCTTTTAGAATGTGCCTTTGTGTACTGTGGATGGCCTTTGCCTGCTGTTTGGTTGAAAAGCCCTTTCCACATCCTACCCACAAATCCAATGCTCTTGGGTGGGTGATTCTACTATAGTACACTGCAGTCCTGATTGACTTAGATGGCATAGAAATCACCATTCTGGCTGAAAATGAAAGGAATGCTTCTTAAAAAAAAAAAAAAAAAAAACTGTTCGGTGAAGCTTTGGAAATTCCAATCTGATGTCTCTTCCCAGAGGTTAGAATCCCAAGAAGTTTATCAGAGTAGAGTGACTAATGTGGATTTATGTCTAACTGGAGATTTTTTCCCATGGTATTATTTGATACTATGAAAGATCAAAGATTCTTAGCTCTGCCAAACTTAATCAAGTTTCTTCTCCTATGCCAATGTGTACATTTCCTTATAGAATTCATTTTTAAAAAATAACTCTGCAAAGGTAGTTTAGCAAGAATTTTCCACCCTCACCATCTGACCACCTCAATATTTGATCATAATTATTTATCATAATTCTTCACTGCCCCATGACTGATATCTGGTCAGTCTGGCCTGCCTTCAGCAGGAATCCTGTTAGGTTGGTTGGTTCAGCTAGACAGAAATACTCCCAAAATTCTGTCTCCTCTCAGCAATTTTCTACCCACTGATATTCTTCTCCTTGGCTTATAAATCTCCTGGTATATATGGAATGCAGCCTTTTCTACCCTCAGGTCTCTCTTTCCCTATGGCAATAATCTCAAATAAAATATGCCTTCACAATTTTAACTTCTATCTAGCTCTGATTTTCTTTGACAAATCCAGCTAAGACCCAAAGTCACAAAAATGATAATAGAATTTTCTAGAACAATGTTATTTCAAGCAGATTGTAAATTGCATTGAAATGCAAATGAAAATCACAATTCGATATCACCTCACCCACCAGGATGGTTACATTTTTTAAGAAAAGCAAAACAAGAGAGGAAGTCTGCATCCTTCTTTGCTCCATAGCTTGGGATCCAAGCAGCAGGAATATTGCATCTTAGCAAGGTGGGAGAAAGAGGGACTTCACTAAAATTTACTACTGGACAGTCAGAGTATTTTACTGACTCAGAAATTTGGGTACATTGAACAAAGAAGAAAGAGTACATTGGAGCCAAGTGGGTTGTACCAGCAATAGCAGTAGCAGCCCTGGTTCACCACAGTGAGAGGGGATAACACACCGAGAAGCACTATGGGCAGATTTGGTACAGAAAAACATGCAATCAGAAAAAAAGGCTGAACTTAGTTGATCCAGACGTTGCACTATGAATTGGTGTTTAAAAGCACTTTGCATTTCTCAACAGGCAGTGAAGAACTGAGGTGGGCCATCTGGGGGAGGCCACACTGCAGCTGCAGCTGTGGGAGAGAGAAGAGAGGAGAAAACACTACCATAGAGTCCCAGCAAGTGTCTACCATGCAGCTCTGTAGAATGTGACACAGAAAAAAGGAAGGGAAATCCAAGTTGCTTTTCTTTTGAGTATGACATCTCACATGACCAGTTGAAGAGGGTCAGGAATCTGAAGAGGGAGTTGTGAATACAGTCAGGGGCTAAACCTGGGAAGGCTGTGCTTATGGGCAGTGAGGTGGAAGATTGGCCCTCCTGCCCCCTCCCCTGTGAATAGAATTCTTGGAAGGCTCTCCGGACAGATATTGGCAACTGCCAGGCCCAAGGGGTGCCCTAAGGTGCACTGATCCAATTTCTCCAGAGCAGACCCCACCCAACAAAGCCCCTGAGGCCTGATTAGACCCAAGTTCCATCCACCAGAATTCTGCAGCAGACCCACCCTGGGAGTGCATTGATCTGATGTGTGCAGACAAACTCCAACTGACAGTCCTTCCCATTCCATGCTACCTGATACTGGTGAGAAGGGAAGCTGAAAGCTATTTCAACCAGTTCAGTCTTAGGTCATTCTGACTGGCAGCTCAGTGAGCAACACAAACAGAGGAAGGGGTTTACAACCTCCATCCCTTGCTCAGTTTCTCCCCCTTTTTCTCTCCCCCAGTACATAGCCCAATGTTTAGTCAGCTATTTCACTGCTGTGACTAAAGGACCCAACCAGCATAATTGTATGAGGAAGAAAATTTTATTTAAGAGCTCAGAGTTTCAGTGGTCTTAGTCCATAGAATGTTGGCTTCATTCCATGGGGCTCCAGGTGAGGCAGGATATCATGGAGGATGAGTGTGGGGGAGGGAAACAGCTCACATGATGATGATGAGAGGGGAAGAGGGAGGAGAGGGGAGGGAAGGGGGAAGAGAGGGGAGAGGAGAGGGAGGGAGAGACTCCACTTGCCAGATACAAATATATACCTCATAGCCACGCCCCCAATGAGCCACTTCCTCTAGCCACTCCCCATCTACCTCCAGTTACCACTCAGTTAATCCCATCAGAAATTAATCCACTGATTAGGTTAAGGCTGTGATGCGATCATTTCTCCTCCAAATCTTCATGCATTGTCTCACACAAGTGATCTTTTGGGGGACACCTCACATCCAAATTATAACACTCAAGAAAGAATGGAAAAGATAGTTGGACATAGGCATTGAAATCCATTCTCATTTACTATTTTGACCACCTCAGTGGAGACGATTTCTTCATTTTTCACTAAGAATCTCTTCCTCCTTTTCTCCTCCTCCTCCTCCTCCTCCTCCTCCTTCTTCTTCTTGTTCCTTGCTGTGGTGATTGGTGCATGAATATATATAAAGGGTATGCATATTTTTTCCTCAATTTTAGGAGTTTTAATGTAGTTATTTTTCCATCTTCTTCTTTTGAGGGTTGGGATTTTGGTTTATTTTGGTTTTGTTGTTTTGTTTTTCTTTGTTTCTCTTATTTCTCTTTCTGTCCTTTCTTCTCACACTAATAGCCAAATTCTCTTGTTCTTCTCTCTCCATTTACTATTTTTCCTATTTTTTTCTCCTTTTTTCGTACAACCTTCACCTGCTGCATCTCTTTTGCATTCTCTCTGTTCACTTTTTGAGATGGTAAACTCTCTTCTACCACCCTATCATATTTTCTTTTCTCTTAATTAACTGTGTTTTTACCATATTTTAGAACTAATTGGTTTATCTAATTCCTGTCTCCACCATTAATGCAGTTGCAATTATTACTGCTGTAGATAATATATTTGACACCTATTGTTTGCTTTAATGCCAGATCTACCTTATGGTTATTGTTTATTGCTGTTGGCAATTTCTGTTTTTTTTTTCCCTGTGGTAATTAACATTGTAGATCCCATAGTAGAAAGCAGATATTTATTTTAATGCTATATAATGTTTGCATCAGTTGTTGGTATTGTTTATTTCCCCCATTCTGTGAGGTTGGGAACTTACAGGGACACTTTTAGTTCAGAAGGTAGAAACTCTGTTGCTGAACTAAACTTAAAGGACAGAGCACCTTGCTCCACACATAAAGTAGCAACACTCAATCTTCAACTGTACTTTAATACGAAGAATAAAAAGACAAAATTCCAAACTAACTACCAGGCCCCAGGCAGAAACATAGAGGGGTAAGCTCTTAGGTCCACTCATGGACATCAGCTACTACAGAAAAATGGAGAGAATTAACCAAAGTCTGTGAATATGACACCTATGAGGGGTCTCAATCTAGAACACCATAGGACATTTTGGCAAGTAAAAGTTGGGTCTAAAAAGACCCACATGTAAGAGTGGAAGAAAAATCCCTCTCAAGAGATGAATAATACACAGAAATACAAGAAAAATGAAAAAAAACAAGGGGACATGACACCTCCTAATGTTCAAAATTCACCATCAGCCAATGCTAAAATTATTTAAATGGATGAAATACCAGTAAATAATTCAAAAGAATGGTTTTAAAAAATGGCCAAAATAACACAGAAAAACAACTAAATGAATTAAGGAAGGCAGTACAGAATGAGATGAACATACAGATACAGGAAGCATTCAAAGCCCGCAAATAGACAAATCAAAAAGAACCTCTCCATGATATAATTAAAATGCCTAACATATAAAACAAGGATAGAATCTTAAAAGCCTCAAGATAAAAAAAATCAGGTCACATTTCAAGGCAAATCAACCAAAATCACTTGTGATTTTTTAGTACGAACTCTGTAAGGCAGGAGGACTTGGAATGATATGTTCCAACTCCTGAAGGAAAATAACTATCTACCAAGATTGTTATCTCCAGAAAAGCTATCCATCAAAATCAAAGAAAAAATAAAAACCTTCCAAAATAAGCAGAAA